TACTGTATTGCTAGGTTTTCACTTGTCTGTTTCCACATGCATATGAAGTTGAGTGCCATCCTATTCTTAATCCACGGGGTTTAAAATGATGTAGGTAGGCTGACCCTTTGCACAGCCGAATGGCTTCAGCTTTTCTGGGAAGGCTTTCCACATGGCTTATATGTTTATTGGAATTCTTAACAGAATTCTTAACAAGTGCACCAGGAGTGCATTGTTAGGTTAGACGCCAATGTTGGACGAGAAGTCCTGGCTCCCACAATCCCAGCTCTAATTCATCCCAAAGGTGTTCTTTCAAATTGAGGTCAGGACTCTGTCCAGGATAGTCAAGTTTTTCCAAACCAAACTCTTTCATCCATGTATTTTTGGACCTTGCTTTGTGTACTGCTGAATAGTAACTTTGAAACAGGAAAGCACCATCTAAATTGTTCCCACAAAGTTTGGAACACTACATTTTACAAAATGTCTTGGTATACTGAAGCATTAAAAGTTCCTTTAACTGGAACTAAGAGGTCAAGCCCAGCACCTAAAAGACAACCCCACACCATAACCTCCCCTCCACCAAACTTTACACTTCGCACAATGCAGTCAAAAAAAATACCCTTCTCCTGGCAACTGCCAAACCGAGACGTGTCCATCACATTGCCAGATTGAGAAGCAGGATTTGTCACTCCAGAGAACACATCTCCTTTGCTCTAGAGTCCAGTGGCAGTATGTTTTACACCACTGCATCTGACGGTATGCATTGAGTGACTGTCTTCTGCTCGTCAAATACATTTCATTGCAATGTTGACCCTGTGCCAACTTGCATATGACAAATAACTATAATAACACAGTTTTATGCTACTGTCTTTTTAATAATAGGATTTTGGATCTGATGTTAACTGTTAGTCTAACTGAAAACTGAAAACAAACAATGCTTGGTGCACTTTCTCAGCCATGGAAACCATAATAAGACCATATGAAATTCGGAGGTCTGTAACGGGCTGTAACGTTGACCTCTCTTATTATACAGCTCAGCATCTGCTGACCCCACTCTATTTGGGTCAGTGTCAACTATCACTTTGTGACTGTAATGACTGCTGCTATTACAGTCACTTTCATTTTGTTTTAATATCACTAACAGTGGACTTTGGAATATTTAGTAGTAAGGAAAGTTAATTGGATTTTGGGCACAGGTAGCATCCTATCAGTAACAAGATGTAATTCACTGCGCTCCTGAGAGTGGCCTGTTCTTTCAAAAGTATTTGTAGAAGCAGTCTGCTTGTCTAGGTATTGATTTTTATATATGTATGGCCAGGGAAGTGATTGGAACACAATGCAATGTGCAATCAATTATTTGGATGGGTAAGTGAACACTTTTGGCAATATATTGTATGTATTGTAAATCTATTGAATGGAAAAAAGTGTTTAGGATTAAATGTGGGATTTCTATAATCCAGAAATTTGATTGATACCATGTACTCATCAAAAAAAGTATGCTAATTTTGAATTTTGTCCAGGATTCACAAGGGTTGCGACAACAGCATGTTTTCTACCATAGTCCATTTTACCACTGTATTGCATATACTCTTATTTTAATGAAACTGTAATAGTGAGCAAACCAATTGCTGTACTTTTGAAAGCAAAACCTTTCCAGTGCTTGAAACAAAATTTAATCTGCTCAACAGTACATTGCCTCTTTGGCTCTCTTTGTTTCATAATGCAACCAAATGTTTCTAATGGCTGAAGGGCCTTGGCATCTGAACTCTGTTGCTGTAATATGTGTAGAATTTGGGCTGACTTTGTCTTGTTGAAATAAGCAAACCTTGTCACAATAAAGGCAATGAACCTTGTTCAATACGGCATCCTGCCGTACTTCCATTTTTGTATATGAGATAACTCATTTACCAAACCCAACAGTATAAGAGGAGGAAGCCAGGAAAGGCATACCCTTTAAAGTGTTTCCTCAGGACACCAGTTTAGAAAAACTGTTTTAAAAATACTGGTTTAAATTGCTAAGCATTTAGTCCACGATTTCCAACAATAATTTCAAATTTAAATTAAGTCAAAACCAGTATTGTCAAAACACAATTATTTTAATAATATGATAACTTTTGTGATATGTCTCTTTTATGGGGCAGCACTTCTCTGTGATCTTCCATTTTATATACATGGAAAGCGGTTGGGAGATGAGCAGCGAGACCCCCAGCACAAAAAAGATCTACCATCAACAGCAAAAGAAACATGATAAAAAGGAAGAGTTACAGATGAGGTGGGTTGCAAAGTGGCTTGCAGATGGAGAGAAACAGTAGGTAAGGCTAAAGCTGCTTAGTACAGTGCTACCTAACAACCTGAAGACAACAGTCATTAGTACTCATCTACTGTACTGGCCATGATAAAATGTTTGTCATTTTACACGGAGAAAGGGAGTTCTTAAAATGATGAGGAAATTTTTTAATCATAATCATCCTTATGGTTCTCTCTCTCTCTCTCTCTCTCTCTCTCTCTTTCTGTATATATATGTGTATATATATATGTATATATATATATGTATGTATGTAT